TGTAAAAGGTTGAACTCAAGTGAACTCAAATGAACAAAGTCTGAGACCATCTTGACGTTCTGCCTCTCCTCAGCACAGATTCTGATCTCAGCCTCTTTCTGGAAGGGTGTCAATCTTCCCTTCAGGGATCCCTTACCTCACAGCATGCACATAGGCACATATAATGGGTGGGCTCAACAAAAGCTGTTTTTTGCAATTTTAATATGTAACCCCTTAGTAGCAATAGTTTGTCTTCAGAAAGACTAATCTTTACAGACTAAGAAGAGAACTCTCTCTCATCATCCACCAAACCCAAGGCACCAATATCCACTCAGTCAGCAGATACTTCTTGAGCTGTGCTCCTCGAACCTATAAGCTTAGATAGGAAATTGCAAATAGACATTTAGATGACTCAGCCATGGAGTCCCTCTGAAGGACAGGTTTCCCTAGGAGGTGGCACAAGCATGGAACAAACATGTTCCAGTTAGGTTAAAAAAATCTCTCCCACTGCATCACCAGAACTTATCAGGAAAGAAGAGTCAGCCTGCCCAGACTCCCCCGGAACCTTGAGCTAGATGGAGGCAAAGGCCTGGCATGGGAGGAGGAGGCAGTACTTTTGTCTCACTTTGGTTTTGCACACACCAGGGCTTTCCTCTGGAATGTCCCTTCATACCCAGACTGCCTGGCCATCTCTCCCTCATACTTCAGGCACAAATGGCTCTTCCCACACTTCTCCCAGTTGCTCCCATCCCACTTGGAACCCACAGTTTTCATAGCAGCGTTCAACCAAAAGGCACAAACCTTGTTTTAGGCTTCTTTGTAGGTGCCCCAGCACTCAACACAGAGCTTTTTTGCTGAGCAAATGAATAAGGCTCCCTGGAGAGAGGTTAAGAAGAGAGTGGAAACCTTATTCACCCAAGGGTAGTAGTAGTAGTAGTAGTAGTAGTAGTAGTAGTAGTAGTAGTAGTAGTAGTAGTAACCAGTTGAAGCCATAAGAGGCTCTTGGGTCCAGGCCTCACTCTTCTCTATAAAATGGGAGTTGAAGTGTCTTTTCTTTTCCCCTTGTGATTCCAGAAAAACCAAGAATTAATTCATTTAGTCAGCACACATTAAACCAGTGATGGGCAAGACTCCCTCAGGAAATAGAATGCCTAGCACATGCACCCACGGAATACACAGGTTGAGGCACACCCTCCCCCTGATACGAGGGCAGAGACAGATGAAACCTGTTCCACTGCCCCCCTTTGAGCCTCAGTCTCTTCTTCTGTAAAATGGAGGTAATGTCTACTTCTCTAAATTATTGTAAGGATGAAAGAGAGGTCTGTAAAATAGCAAAGCTGATGGCAGCTGCCACTACTGCTGCTATGACTACCATTATTTTTATTATTATTCCATTCTTTGCAACTTATAGCCATTAACTATACTATACTATAGCCATTAACTCATTTTAATCTTCATGTGGGGCTGACTGAGCATGTATGGCTCTTCCCATTTTATAGATGAAGAAACCAAGCCTCTAAATCAGTAAGTGTTTTACTCAAAGTCAATCAACTAATAAGTGGCAGAGCCAGGACTCCAAACTAGGTCCTGCAACTCCTGCCCTCTCCATCATACTGCCCCACAGATGAACATAGGAGTTAATGGAGCAGATGTGATGTGGTGGAATAAACAGGAAAGAGTTGTTGCAGGTGAAACTTAGGATGGTCTGGTAGTGGTTGACATGGTCAGGAGAAGACGTTCTGGTAAGGGGAAGAACCCAGCAAGGAGCCCTGGAGCTGGCTCAGCATGTGGAGAGGCTGCCAAACCTGTTGGAGCTTTCAGAGATGGGACTGGCCAGAGAAGGGGCTGAGCTGCCTGCTCAGGGGACCTGACACCATCTCAAGCCCAGAGAGCAGTGGTCAGGATATGGTCAGGGGCAGGGGCTCGTGAGACCATGTATGGAATGGCTGAGCCAGCCAGACTGGAAGACTGCAGTGCGGTGGCTTTCCAGGTGAGGCGAGGGAATGAGGAGATGTTGTGGTAGGGGAGAGCCAACTCCTTTCTCTAAACTCCTGAAGCACCAGTTCATGCTCAGGAGCTAGCCAGAGCCAGGGTTAAAGCCCAGGTTCACTTATTTACCTGTGTAGTCTTGAACAGGTCACCTAACTTCTTTATATATATTTCCTCGTCTGTAAAATGGGAATCAAGTTACCTGCCTGCCAGCCTCATGGGTTCATAACCAGCCTCAAATGAAGTTATGTCTACAGAAGTTCTTTACAGACTCTGAAGTGCTAGCAGAGGAAGTTGCTGCATTTGCTTGTCCACAGAGCACCAATACCTGTGGCCACATCCCAAATGGGCCTATCCAGGTCTCTGTCTGTCCCAGCCTCTGCCCCAGCCTGACAGAACCCTGAGGCACCCAGCCTTGGTCCTCAGCCACCCTGCCAACCACACACCCCAGGGCCCGCCTTCCCCAGTCTTTCATAGCTGCTTCCATTTTTCATTCTGTCGGACGCCATCTGCTTGGCCATTTTTCTCTTCAGATATTATTAGAAATATCCAGAGTTGTAATTGTTTAATGGTTGGCATTTTGCCTGTTTCACGGGGAGCCCAGATCAAGCCCACCCCAGACTCATGCCCTGGGTCTGGCAGAATTGACCAGGGACAGCTGTGCAGTGGAGTCTGCTTGGCATTATAAAGAGCTCTCTCCCAGGTGCATTATTAGAAAAGAAGGGGGGAAAGATGGCCCCTGGCGTAATCCAATTCCGCATTCTCCATGGTGTTTTTGAACTGCATAGCCCAGAGGCATGCAGCTCTTGGTGGGCTGGGAAGCTTCCTGAAAGAGAAGTCAAGATCAGAGCCTCAGGTTCATGACACCTGGGGAACCCTGGTCCCCCAGGCCACCTGTCTGAGTGATGCCTGGATACTTTTGCCTCCCCAAATACCCCCATGAAGCCTGAATCCAGTTTTTGCTCAGCTTCTTTCCAACCTAGATTCTCAACTTAGCCAACTTTTGGAAGAGTGTGACTCCTTTCATATAACCCCTTCTCTCACCCTTGCCTCAACACACATCCACACATAATGTTCACAGAAGTCTAGCCTTTGCCATTTTACAGTATCTCCACCTCCCCAAATACCCCCATCCACAGGGTCTTGTTTCTGTCAGGACACTGGGGGCTCCCTCTCACCAGGCTGGGACTTCTCCATCTTCATCCGCAGCCTTCAGATACCTATGAGGCCTGTGGATTCCCATCATGGCCAGGCCTTCCAGAGGACCAAGCCAGTCAGTTTAGAGATGACCTGAGACCTAGCCCAAGGGAGAGGTTAGACTGAGTGTTTTCTCAGGCCCCTCTCAGGAGTCTCAGGGAGTATCTCCCGGGCAGGCAGAGTGGCTAGTCTGGTGTCCATGAGGTTGCACAGTTTTTTTTTTCTGCTGAGGCCAGAACTAGAAAGTATCTTAGGTAGAAGCATTAGAGATTGAGGTGAGAAAGCCCACAGTGTGGACCTGAACTCCTAAGACAGGGATTCGAGACCTCTTTGATCTGATCCCACCCACAAGTACTCATGTTCATTCCTGTCTCCACCTCTGTCATGCTGCTGCATTTGCCCCCTCCAGATCCCACCCAGTCTCTGTGATCTGTCATCAGTCCCACTTCTTCCAAAAGCCTTCCCTGATCTCTCCAGCCGCTTCTTTGAAACCCAACCACACAGATTATACCACACAGTATAGCATTTAGGATCTTTGCACCTCAAGAATGGACGATGCTTCCCTAAGACTGTCAACTCTTCCTCCATTGACTTGGTTTCCATGCCTTGTCCTCTGACATATATCCTTTTGCTCATCTCCCCTCAACGCTCTGGGGACCAGACCATATATGCTGTTCCATCTGCAGGATGACCTTGACATTGCACAATGGTCTCTCCCCTTCCTTCTTCTGACGGCCGTGTTTCCGTTTATGGCAACCCAAATTGATACTAGCTTTTGTAAGTAACCATCTGTGACAAAAAAAGAAGACAGGTTTAGAGATGCAACTCTACCATCTCCACCAGTCAGCTGGTAATCTACTAGTTGTGTGACTTGGGCAGATCTCTTTATCTCTTGTTTCAGTTTCCTGTTCAGTATGATGGAGTTGAAAATAATATTTTCCACTCAGGGTATGGGTCTTGAGTAATAAAATGTTGGCGATTTTTCCATTGGGCCTAGCAGATAGCATGTTTAATAAATGATTCTTCTGATTGTTCTTCCTCATTCTGTTCCTACTCTTATACTTGAGCGATGCTTCTGAGCCTGACTCTCCCACTCTGTGGTTGGGCACTTAATTTCCTCATCTTGCACATAGAACCCTTGAAGAGGAGAGGTTAGCACTCACTCTAGCAGAGCTGAGCCCAGGGGAACCTAGTACGTGTTTATTCCCGTTCCCCTACCTCTGCCCAGTGGAGGCCATGTTGGTGGAGGTGCTAACCAGGTGGCTCACCCTTCCATGCCCTGAGCTCCACACTACCCTTCATTGGCTTCCAGAAAGTGCATTTGGCTGTATTTCCTAACAGCAGATGAGACCTTAGTTCCCCCAAATGGGAAAGAGTTCAGAGCTCACACCCCAGATCCCCAAGGGCCTGCCATGGGCTTCTGCCTCTCCCATTTGCATAGGGGCAGGCTTAGACTCCCACCAGTGGTGAGTAGATGGGTTACCAGTGGAGAGCTAAAGTTCCTCTCAAATTCTCCTTCACCAGCCCCCCACCCCCTTCACCTTCATTCACCATCCACCCGCCTTTCAGTTTCCTTGGCAACGCTGAGTGCTCATCCTGGAAAACTTTATCCGAAATCTGCTCTGGGCAGCTTTCCAAATCCATGCTAACCTGATTAGGTGTCTCTAGGGGCCTTGCCAGCTAATCAGATTAGGCAGCACTAATGGTAGTGAGGACTTTGAGTGGGCGCAGAGCAGTAAAACATATTGTATACTTAGTGATAATTATCCTGCCTTTTGTGTCATTGATTTATCTGCCTCCCTCCCTGTCCTCCCGTCTTATGTGTTTGGCCATAGCGATCCGGAGGAAGGAGAATGGCTGGTACGACGAAGAACATCCTCTTGTCTTCCTCTTCCTGGGATCATCTGGAATAGGTAACTGGGAATAGATCAGCCTGTGGGGAAGGAGAGCTGGGGGAGCCCCAGCTTCTATGGGCCAGAGTCAGACAACCCACCTCTCATTCAAATCTAGCTCCCAGAACAACTGCCTCCAAATTACAGAGCCAGCAAGAGGATCATCTGTCACATTAGGAACAGCTGGAATTATGCCCCTCCCTCTGGAAGCTGTGGTGCAGGGCCTACTTCACCTGGAAGGCCAGGCCCTTGGGGTCCTGTGAGTCCTGGTCCAGCCACTCTGCAACCCCAGAGGCTGCCCTTTAGGAATTGAACCCCTCCACTGCCCAGTGCACCAGCCTTATCTAGTGTAGCCTGGGACATAACCCTCTAGGAAGCTAAAGAAAGCCCCTGATGGCCAGCACAGTGCTAAGTGCATAGCAAAATTGGTTGCAGTGAAATGGGTCGGGGATTTTTATAGCCATTTGGGCTGGATTATCTGAGGCATTCTCACCCCCTCACTCTCTGCCCTCACAGATACTTCCCACTGCCACCACCACACCACCACCACCTCCCGTTGTCTTTTTTTTTTTCTCTCTCCCATTGTCTTGATAGGGAATTTCATGCATCTATTGCCTCCTCTTCCCCTCTCAGCATCTTCATGGGTGCTCCCTCAGATGTAGGGTCCCAAAAGGTTACCATTACCTCACATGATACTATAGAACTTGACCCATACCAGATAGTGACTTCCAAAGGCTTGACCATCATGCCAAATGGCCCTTCAGAGCCACCACTTCGGTATTATCATTCCTTCTTTATGTTACAAAGCAAGGCTGTGAAGCCAAGGAGAGGTGCTTTTTATCCGCTCCCAGCCTCTATTTGGCCTGTGGCTCCAGGGCCTGGCTGGATGGCAAGACCGTGGGTGTCCAGAGAGATACAGTGCAATGAACCAGGAAGTCAGGGTACTCCTAGGACAGGCAAGGTTTATGCTGGGCTTCAAAGGACAGGATGGCTCTGGATTGTAAGAGTCAACCTCTCACTCTTAGGATGCTGCTGTAGAGAAAAGGCTTCAATCCCCATCCACAAAAAAATCAAGATGCAATGCAGACTTTGATTCTGGTCCCAGTTTTACCATTAATTCCCTTGGTGACTTTGAGAGAGTCACTGACCCTCTCTGAGCCTCAACATTCCCATCCATAACATACATTATTTCCAGCATCCATACATTTCTAATATGCTTTCATCACAGGAGATAGTCATCTGGTCCTAACCCAACACTTCTCTTTTCCTTCTTATTAGGAAAAACAGAACTGGCCAAGCAGACAGCCAAATATATGCACAAAGATGCCAAAAAGGTAAGGGCTGGGATCTACGCCTGATTGGCAGGCCATGGAGAGCTCACCACTCCTGCTAGCCCAAAAAATCCTAGGCTCCCTGAATCTAGCAATAGCCAATCAAAAAGATGGGCCCTGGCCCAGGAAGCAGGCCTCAGCTATGGCCCCAACTTGGCCACCAATTGCTCCAGGAATTTGGGCAAGTTATTCAACCTCTTTGTGCCTCAATTTCTTCATCTGTGAAATAGGATGAATAATCCTTGCCCTGCCTGACTCTTGAGGCACTTGGGAGAACCCAGTGAGATTCATTTATACAACATTTCTAAGCATCTACTCTGTGCCGGGTATTGTACTAGATCCTGATAATACAGCGTTCATTAAGACACTCCCCTGCCCTGAGGAGCTCCGTCTTGAGGGGGAGACAGCTTTAGAAACATATCACTACTGTCCAGTGCCATCAAGGCCATGCTAGAGGGAGTCTCAGACCTGTAGGAGAAATGTAGAAATAAGAGGATTTGCTTTTCTACATGAACTTTTTTTTTTTTTGCGGTACGCAGGCCTCTCACTGCTGTGGCCTCTCCCGTTGCGGAGCACAGACTCCGGATGCGCAGGCTCTGCGGCCATGGCTTACGGGCCCAGCCGCTCCGTGGCATGTGGGATCTTCCCAGACCGGGGCACGAACCCGCATCCCCTGCATCGGCAGGCGGACTCTCAACCACTGCGCCACCAGGGAAGCCCCATTCTACATGAGCTTTTAAACGTGATTTCTTAATGCCCTAAGCTATGAGGTGGTCACAGTCTCCTTTTTCCAGAGGCCTGGATTCTCCATAGGACAGGGCTGTGCCCATCCCCTTGTTCAGACTCTGGCTTTCCAAGGCCTGCTCAGTTTGACTTTCTAGACTGACAGGAAATACTTTCACACAGACAGAAATGTCAGAGCAGTCCTTGGAGATTGCAGAAACATTTCAACTTAAAGTCACACATTCTTCTTCCTACTGGCCTTCCCAGTGTGGAGGCATCACAGGTTGCCCACGACCCTGGATGCCCTTGCCTACTTTCTGTGGAAAGCCTCCCCAGCTGAGGTGATGAGGAATTGCCCAGGCCTCCGCCAGCCAAACTGCCAGCAACAGAGTCCTGGCCACCTCCTTTCCTGCTTTTGCCTAGCTCCCCCTTCACCACCTCCCTGAGGGCCTGGCAGCCACAGAAACAAGGTAGCTCAGGCTGTGTCCTTCTGAGCCACATTCATAGCCCCCTTCTACTGACTCTGCCAGTAGCTGTCTGTGAGCTGTCTCAACCAAAGCTAGAGCAGACCCACTCAACAGGCAGGCAGGCAGGCAAGAAGCAGCACATGGCATGCTAATATGCTCCAACCGAAATAGCATTTTTAAGACAATTCATCAGGTTGGCAGCGATTGAAACAATTAGCACTCTGGAAAGGGCCATAAACTAGCAAGACTATTAGGGAAGATGCAGTTATGGGCAGGAACCACCTGATTAGGGATGAAGAATTCCGAGTGGTTTAATTTTAATACTGTCAGAAAGGTTAATATTTAATTACAAATCATAATCTCCTTATCCAAGCTGTCTTAATATGTCTTCATACACAGTGGAAGTAGAAGGAAGGTATCTGCTGACTTGCTGGTGTAGAAAGGAGAAGGGGCTTGATAAAAGACTGATGATGCAAGTCATTTTTCAGTTGGAGTATCTAAACAAGAGACAGATTTCCACCAGTGCAGGGTGTCCTGAAAGCTGATGATGGCATCCTTCAGTACATGCCTCACCTAGGAGACGGAGTTAACACCGTCACCACTTGGAGTCAGTGGCCTGGGTGATCCAGGCTCTGGAGTCAGCCATTCCTTGGCGCAGGTTCTACTGGTCCTAGACGGGTTGCTTTACCCCTCTTAAGTTTCAGCTCTTGCCTCAAAGTGAAGCTAATCAGTACTGTGTCTAAGGTTGTCGTGAGCATCAAGTGAGATACTATGAATCACAGAGAACACAGGTTCTAGCACCCAGTAAGTGCCTGATCCCTTGTCTTATATTTATTCATCACTCTGTACTTTCCACAGCAGTATTCCCATCCATTGTCTTATTTGATCCTATAAGGAAGATAGCATAAATGCTAAATTAGACCCACTTTTTAGATGAGAGAACTGAGACCCTACAGTGTTAAGCATCCAGAGTCACCTGTTAGGGGAAGAAGTAAAATCAGAATCCAGTCTCTCAACTCTTCTCTCAGAACTCTTGTTCTCAGCCACAAGAGGAGGCTAGATTATAAACTTGTCCATTTGTCCCCATGTCACATAGGGAGATGAGAGGCATGAGAAGCCCAATATAACCATGTATTTTATTTTTAAATCATAGTTGTTGCTTCTATAAAACTTCTACCTTCACCAGCCCTGAGGACCAACTCATTACAGCATCTATGTCTAGCATAGACATTCTCTGGACATGTAACAGGCATGTTTGAAACCTGCCTTCAAAATCTGAGGGTTCTGGGCTTCCCTGGTGGCACAGTGGTTGGGGATCCGTCTGCCAATGCAGGGGACAAAGGTTCAAGCCCTGGTCCGGGAGGTTCCCACACACCGCGGAGCAGCGAAGCCCGTGCGCCACAACTACTGGTCCTGCACTCTGGAGTCTGCGAGCCACAACTACGGAAGCCCACGTGCCTGGAGCCTGTGCTCTGCAACAAGAGAAGCCACCGCAATGAGAAGCCCATGCACCGCAACCAAGAGTAGCCCCCGCTCGCGGCAACTAGAGAAAGCATGCACGCAGCAGGGAAGACCCAACGCAGCCAAAAATAAATAAATAAATAAAATTGAAAAATAAAACAAAATCTGAGGGTTCTGGACTGTAAGCTGTCTAACCAGGGTACCTGACATCACCAGGACCCACGGAGTGATGTGTGGGAAGTGTCACGTACAGGGCCCAGTGTAAAGGAGGACTGAGCACTGACCTGGGAGTTGGTGACTTGAATTCGAGTTCTCGCTCTCTGATCCTTAGTTTCCTCATTTGTAAAGAGTCACGATACCTCCAGACCTGGCTGCCTCTCAAGGACTTGTTTGCACATTTTGATAATTTCTTTTTTTTTATTTATTTATGTTTGGCTGTGTTGGGTCTTCATTGCTGCGCACGGGGGCTACTCTTTGTTGCAGTGTGCAGGCTTCTCATTGCGGTGGCTTCTCTTGTTGCAGAGCACAGGCTCTAGGCATGCGGGCTTCAGTAGTTGTGGCACACGGGCTCAGTAGTTGTGGCTCGAAGGCTCAGTAGTTGTGGCATATGGGCTCAGTTGCTCCATGGCATGTGAGATCTTCCCAGACCAGGGCTCAAACCTGTGTCCCCTGCCTTGGCAGGTGGATTCTTAACCACTGCGCCACCAGGGAAGTCCTGTAATTTGTTTACCAGACTTGTGAGCTTATTATTTTTCTCTCATTAACCTCTACTATTTCTCCCAAATTGAGCAGCTTTGTTAACTCCCATTATTAGGGTTAATAATCCTTGAGAAAAAACCTTAATGGCATTCTGTGATTTCATCCTGAAGTAGGGTGGTGAAGCCCTAACGACTGCAGTTATAGTGGCAGTATGATGAAGGGATCAAGAGCAGGGCTCTGGGTCCAATGCTAAACTACTCTGTGGAGTTGGCTGAGATCTCTGTTTACATCAGTTTTCTCATCTGTAAAATGGAGTCAATAATGGTGCCTGTCTCATTGGATTGTTATGAAGGTTAAGTGAGATAATGATGTAAAATGCTAAACACCATTCTTGGCACATAGTAAGCAATCAGTGCATGTTAGATATAATTGTTATTATTGTTGCCTCACTTCTAGATAACCCTAAGGTAAGATCATTTGAAACCAAAATTATTCTAGCCAAGAAAATCAAGCCCTTAGATTTGTTGAGAGTTACTCAGCAAATCAGTAGAAGGACTAGGATAAGAACCCAGGTAATTTGACATAAGCGTAAGTGAGCACTGAAGTCTGTACTCCCTGTTACCTTGGGGCATTGATTGACACTGGTTCTGGACACAAAGCTCAGAACCCTTCAAATGAAGATGCCAAGAGCCCAGCTGATTGATGAAGTGGGAAATATGAGGCAGGAGGGTATAGTGGCTAAGAGCACAGGCTTTGAGCCAGATTGTCAAGCTTGAGTGACCTTGGGCAAGTTACTTTAATCTGTGGCTCGGTTTTCTCATCTGTAAGGTGGGAATGATAATACTACTTTTATCTCATAGACTTACACACATTCTAAGCCCTTTATAGCTTGCTTATTTAGAACATCGCCAGACACATAGTAAGCGCCCAGTGAGTGTCACCTATTATCCAGATACCCATCTCGTGGCTTCCAGCTCATTGCTCCCTCTGGGCAGCACTCCCAGCTTCCCCATGTCTATCTTCCCACGCTTCCTGAAGCCAGTGTTTCTCTTGGCCGAGCTGCCTGGGTCCCTCTGAAGATGCTTGCTGGCTAATGCTCCATGTCCTCTGATAACACACCCTCATGACCTTAAGAACTTCTCCAAGGCCTTTCCGACCTCTTGGATTAGGTCCTCTCCTCAGGCCATAACATAAAGGAGAAACAGCGAGAGGGCATAAGGGCCTGAGTATATAGGAAGAAACTGCAGCTCCAAAAGGGAAGGCAGCCAAGGCCACACAGATAGTGGAGAACTGGGGCTGGAAGCCAAGCCTGGGACTCTTTCTGCCACCCTATACCTCACGTACAGAGTGACAGGACAGAGAAAAAAATAGAATACATCACAGACTGAATTTCTGGCCAGCAACCGAACTAGAGTATAGCCTGGATTTCAGACATAGCTACCTCCCTCTCAGGGTCTTGGCGCGCCCTCCCTCATCCCCAGCTCTCAGGAGAAGCATAGGCAGTGGGTGCATTCTCTTAGATGGAAGTATGTGCCAGTAGGAGAGGAGCCTGAGGAGTCTCTGGGGAACCCTGATCTGGGTGGAGAGACAGGGCCTCTGAGTGCCCTTATAATGCCCTAAATCCCTAAATTCTTCATGAAAAGTCATGGGCATTCTGCTTGTTTTAACTCGCAAATCCCACTCCAGAGGGTGTGCTGTTCCCCTGGGGCTAATTATGGTCGGGCCTCACCCCAGGGGGCCAGTTCCCTGGAAATCTGCCCTAGGCCCAACCATGGAGAGAGAAGGGCTGCAAGCTACATTCTGGATAGCTCTTAAGTGAAAACATGTAAATAAATGAGAAAGATTTATTAGTTTAAAAGAAAAGTAGGGGGCTTCCCTGGTGGCACAGTGGTTGAAAGTCTGCCTGCCAATGCAGGGGACACGGGTTCGTGCCCCGGTCCAGGAAGATCCCACATGCCGTGGAGTGGCTGGGACCGTGAGCCATGGCTGCTGAGCCTGCGCGTCCGGAGCCTGTGCTCCGCAACGGGAGAGGCCACAACAGTGAGAGGCCCGCGTACCGCAAAAAAAAAAAAAAGAAAAGTAGGGACTTCCCTGGTGGCGCAGTGGTTAAGAATCCACCTGCCAATGCAGGGGACACGGGTTCGATCCCTGGCCTGGGAAGATCCCACATGCCGCGGAGCACCTGGACCCGTGCGCCACAATTAGCCTGCACTCTAGAGGCCACGAGCCACAACTACTGAAGCCCACGTGCCTAGAGCCCATGCTCCACAACAAGAGAAGCCACTGCAATAAGAAACCTGCACACTGCAACAGAGTAGCTCCTGCTCGCCACAACTAGAGAAAGCCTGCGCACAGCAACGAAGGCCCAACGCAGCCAAAAAATAAATAAAATAAATTTATTTTTTTTTAAAAACTGTGATAAAAAATTTTTTTAAATAAATAATATAAAAATAAATTGGTGCAGCCACTGTGAAGAGCAGTATGGAGGTTCCTTAAAAAACTAAAAATAGAGTTACCGTATGTCGCAGCAATCCCACTCCTGGGCATATATCCAGAAAAGATGAAAACTCCAATTTGAAAAGATACATGCAGCCCAGTGATCATTGCAGCACTATTTACAATAGCCAGGACATGGAAACAACCTAAATGTCCATCGACAGACAAATGGATAAAGAAGATGTGGTACATATATACAATGGAATACTACTCAGCCATAAAAAAAGAATGAAATAATGCCATTTGCAGCAACATGGATGGGCCTAGAGATTATCATACTAAGTGAAGTAAGTCAGAGAAAGACAAATATTGTATCGTACACTTATATGTGGACACTAAAAGAATGATACAGATGAACTTATTTATGAAACAGAAATAGACTCTCAGATGTAGAAAACAAACTCATGGTTAACAAAGGGAGAAGGGGGAGAGGATAAGTTAGTAGTTTGGGATTAACATATACACACTACTATATATAAAAAAGGTAAGTAATAAGGACCTACTGTATAGCACGGGGAACTGTATTCAATATCTTGTAATAATCTATAATGGAAAAGAATCTGAAAAAGAATATATATATGTATGTGGGTGTATGTATGTATAACTGAATGAATATATATATGTATGTGGGTGTATGTATGTATAACTGAATCACTTTGCTGTACACCTGAAACTAACACAACTTTGTAAATCAACTATACTTAAAAAAAAAGAAAAAGGGGCATGTGCCCACATAGACTTGCAAAGTTGAGGGCACCATGGAGCTGTCTGGGTGCTTGTTGCTCCCCTGCATCTCATCATGATCCCACGCTGATGGTGACTGACTTTGTCCATGTCAGCCTGCCCCACTCAGGTGCTGCTAGAGAACAGAGACATAGCTCCAGTGCTTGGCACACACAGTATGCCCTCAGGAAATGTGGGATGAGTGGATGACGTGGTGATCAGACCCAGTAGAAGCCTGAAAAAAGAGACATTCCAAGCCAGATTTAAGGCAGGAACGCGACTTGGGTTTATTAAGGTAGGGCATGAGGGAATCGTGGGGGATGAGTGGACAGAAAAAGGAGGCAAGGAGCCAGAAAAAACTATATCATGAAAATGGGATAGAAAATCTTGGCTTGGTGTGGCTTAAAAGCCGGAATATATTTGAGATCTCCTTAACCCTTCCCCCTGCCTTCTTCAAATGGACTCCTGCTTGTTTCCACACAGGGTTTCATCAGGCTTGACATGTCTGAGTTCCAGGAGCGGCATGAGGTGAGTGAGAGTCCTTGGTGAAGTGTGGTTTGGAGAGCCTGTCAACAGGGCTCTGCCTGGCTATTTTGATGTGACTTGTCGATTAGGCCTGAGATAATTCCAGCAGCCTTGGGATTTATCCTTTGCGGGGAGCATATGTACACAGCAGGGTCACTGATCTGTTTTGCATATGATTTGCTCTGATGAGTAAACACAGAAAAGATCATCTGCTCTCCCATCACGGCAGGATTCCTTCTACCCAAAGAGACAACCTGATTGTCCTTGTTGAGACAGGCAATCTTAACAGTATATAAAGCCATCTTACCGTTGCATGTCCCATATTAGAAACTAAAAGCATAGAAAGGCCTTCCTAACTTATTTCCTTCCTTCCATCAGGTGGCCAAATTTATTGGGTCCCCACCAGGCTACATCGGCCATGAGGAGGGTGGCCAGCTGACCAAGAAGCTGAAGCAGTGCCCCAACGCTGTGGTGCTCTTCGATGAGGTGGACAAAGCCCATCCAGATGTGCTCACCATCATGCTGCAGCTGTTTGATGAGGTGCCAGTCAGCTTGGGCCGGGATGGAGTTGGGGGCACCTGTAGGTATGGGGGGCTGTGAACAGCAGGACCCAGGGGCCCAGAATTGATCATTCCTCAAGTTGCTGCTTCCTCGTGTGTACGTTCAGTCACTTAGCAGGTGTGGCTTCACCCCCTCTCTGGACCGGGGCCCAGACTGGGCACCCAAAGAAGACCAGCACTGCCCAAGAGTTGAAATGTTGTGGCTGCCTAGACTACCTTCGAAAGAGACAGAATGGGACAGGGGTGCCAGGGGAGAGAGAGAGAGAGCTGAATTTTTAGTTCTAGCTCTGCCCCATCTCTCAGCATCAGGGACCTCGTGTGACAAACAAGGAGGCTGGATCCAGTAAGCTCCAAGAACCTTTCTGGCTCAGACAGCTCCTGCTCCTCCCCATGTCAGCCATCATTTTCACCAGTTCTTAAAAATGCCAGGGACGTTGCTGCTGTCTGTGATGGTGACCATGATGATGGAATGGTGGCGCCCTGGTTCATGGAACCGTCTTCTCCTGAGGAGCTCCAGGCTGGTCACAAGCAAGGACAGTCTCCCTCTTAACTGGTGAAATGAGCTCTAAATGAGAACAACTTCCTCTTTTTCAGCACAGTCTATGTAATAGGCCTGTGCTAAAGACTTTACAGATGTTCTTGCTAATCATCACAATAGCCAGGCAAGGTACCAATCATTTGTTACAGATGAAGAAACTGAGGTTCAGCAAGGTTATAAATGACTTGCCCAAGGCCACAGAGCTACTGTGTGGAAGAGCCAGAAATGGGCTGCAGATACATCTGGTCCCAGAGCCCCAGTTCTCCCCATCTGTACCAGTCCTTATCTTGAGCAGCGGAGGGAAAGCTTATGATTGTGGGAGGGGCTGCCATCCACCTTTTCCAGGGGTCCTGCAGAACTGGGGATGAGGCCTCCCATCTGCTCCCATGCAGGGACTATATTAGCCAGCACATGGCCGGATGGAGTCCAGTCCAGGGAAAATGTCCAGCCCCATTTTCCCTCCAGCCCTGGGAAAATGGAAAGAGGTTTGCTGCCCATGTCAGGGTGCACTAACGAAATGCAGGAATGGATACCCGTGGACCAAATAGCACATCAGGTACCAAGCCAGGAAGAACCAGATCCAAATGTCCCCACAGCTGCCCACTGCCTGTCCCACCTGGCCCAGCATCCTTGCCCCTGCCCCAGTTTATTGCTCTCTTCCTAGGCTCTCATCTGCTCCCTGTCTCGAGACCCACCCCCCACCCCCACTGAGGAATGAAGGCCAAGTCTTCAAAGGTCACATATTCTGTTTCCCGTACCTGTGCTCTGAGACCACCCCCACCCCGACCCCTGCTGCCGCCTTCTAGCCTCTTGATGGGATTCAGGTACATAGCTGTGGACCAGACCGAAACCTGCCCTCTGGGAACTCCCTACCTAGTAGACAGCAGAGAGGAGATATGATAAAGTTGACATTTTTGTACTTTGTGTGCAAGGCACTGTTATTGCATGTATGAACTCCTTTAATCCTCCCAGAAGGAGGATTGGTTCCCAGAAGATGGTTATTATTACTGACTCCATGTAACAAATGTAGAAACTGAAGTAAAGTGAGAGGATTTATTCACCCATGGTCACACAGTTGGGAAGAGGAAATCCAGGATTTGAACCCAGGCAGTCCACTTCCAGAGCCTGCAGCTAAAATAGTAACTACCATGCAGCCAAGGCCAAAAGAGAACAGTAGATCTGGAATGAAGCATTCACAGGAAGGGAGAGCCCGGCTTAGGGAAGGTGAGCACAGCAGCCTGGTTGGCCTCTCACTTCCCTGGAGAGGTTCCTGGTCCAGAAAGAGGGAAGGCAACTGCTGACTGGAATACAACCAACCCCACCTGGAAAATGCTTACCACTCCCGTGTGTAAGCCCTGTCCACCCCACCCACTGCTGCTGTCACTCCACTGACTACCTTGGGGAGTTGATAATAACTCCTTCCTGCAGCTCCCGACAACCTGCTACAGTTTCTGATGTTTATGCCCTTGCTTCCATTGACCAAAGCTGCCATCTGAGCTTACTTAGCCAGATTTATGCATGTTTGCTTCTTGAGGACAGAGACCTTGTCTCACTCCAACCATTCCCAGAACCCACAGCGCCAGGAGAAATGCCCTGTTGACTAACTTAATTCAGTAGTAATTCAGCAAACCTTCCAAGGATGAATAAGTATTTGCCAGGTGAACAGAGTGGAGAAGGGCCGGCAGTAGACACCCCGTGTGCAGAAGCACAGGGGCATGAGGCAGCCTGGTATATGCAGAGAACTACAGCTGTTCAGTATTGATCGACTGCAGAGGGAAAGGGAGAATAGAATGGTGGAGATAGGTGGATAAGGTAGACAGGGGCAGGTTAGAATGCCAGGCAGAGGAGTGTGGACTTTTTTGGTGAATAGTAAGAAGCCTTTAAAGACTTTAGGCAAAGAGAGAAATATGATCAGGTTTTCACTTTATAAAGATCCTATAGGCAGCAGTGAGCAAATGGACTAGAAGGAAGAAGAGAGACCAGCGAGGAGACTGTTGAAGAGTCCAGGCGAGAGCTTGGGAGGCCTGCTCTCAAGCAGGGCTGTGGGATGGGGAGAGCTCCCGGGAAGTCCGCTGTGCAGGGCTCGGTCGTTGGATGTGAGGAGAGAGGGAGGGACCAAGGATGACCAGCGGCAGGATTTCTGGCCTGGGTGACCCATGGATGCTGCTGCCATCAACCTGCGGCAGGGAACACAAGGGGATGAGCAACAGATTGATGAGGAAGGTAAGGAGCTAAGGTTTGGAATTGTTGAAAATGAAATGCCACAGCCAGATGGGTATGTCCAAGAAGTCGCTCATCAGTTTGAGCGGTCTGGAGTGTAAGAGAGGCCTGCACCGGAAGCAGAGACTCAGGAATGCTTCAGCACAGAGAGAGTACCAGAAGCCACAGGAAGGGGTGAGATCTCTGACCTAGTGAGAGTGTGGTGTGCAGAGAAGAGAGGTAAGAACAGCCTTGCAACCTCTCCAAAAAGAGTCAAAGACAGAATTGCCAGAGAGTAAGAGGCAAACCAGGAGAAGGTGGTTCAGTGCGGGGCAGAGAAGACACAGGGAGAACAGACAGTCCCTGCCTCAGTGTTTCTGAGCGAGGGGGAGACAGGCAGCAAAGAGCAGTCCAGCCACTGTGGTGAGTGGTGTGCTAGGATAAGTAGGAGTTATAAGGGCACCTGATCCAGTCTGGGGGAATAGGGAAGCCCCCCTCATATCCACCCAGCCCAGACCTCCCAAGCTTGGACCTAGAAAAGCAGAAGCCCTAATGCTCTCACCAAAACACCAAGCAGAGGTAATGCAGGTCACTTCTCTGTTTACCCCAGAGTCTGTAGCACAGGGCAGAAGTCCTAGGAAGCCCACCCACTGCTCCTCCCTTCAAGGACAGAAACGGGGGAAAGCAGCTCCTATAACCCTGAGGTGAGCATTCACGCTCCACCCAGGATGCGTGCACTCCAGTCGTTGCTGAGAGGCAGGACAGCAACAGCTCCCTCTTTGGGACACATTTTCTTGCCAGGGACTCTGAGGAGAAGGAGACGTGAACAGTGTGAAGGTCACCCTTTGGGTCAGTAATACACTGCACCTGCTCCCCTCACCCACCTGGGACCCATCCTCAGGCCCAGTTATGAGCAGAGCTTTGATCTCTCAGAAAGAAATGGCCACTGGTTATTGCTCTGGCCAGTACAGCAGTGTGTGTGCTCAGTCCTCAGGGATGAGCTCTGCGAACACACACACAGGGTCATCTGCACGCACTTGGGCACATCACACATGCACGCAGAAATGGTCCCCAAAACTAGAGTTGCCCTTAGTGGATTCTGTCGTGTTGTAACCCATAAGCAGGGGGTGAAGTAGGAAGCTAATGGCCAAGCTCAGGAACATCTGCTTGCACCCTTGCCTTCTCCTCATCCCTCCCAAGGCTGGGACGGGAGAGTGACCAGGATTTGGATCTTGAGGCCCCCGTTGAATAGACCCCCTTGGAACTAACACTTTCTGAGGCCTGTGCCAAGGTCCCATGTAAAGTGAGGCAGAAAAGCACTTGGTACTGTGCCCAGTACACAGTAGGCGCTCAGTTAATGCGCATTCCTTTTTTACCTCTGAGGGCCAGGGCTGGTCTGCCTTTGCATTGGCTTTAGAACCAAGGGCTGACCTTGAGTGAGGCCCTCGCCACCAGGGAAAGGGGAACACTTGAGGAGGATTGTTTACCTGAGGCTGGGGCAGGGCCCAGCATCACTGGCTTGGGCAGGTGCCAACAGGCTGAGGTCAGTGGACCTTTCCCCAAAGCCATGTTCTCAAACTTGGCAGGAGTTATGCTTTTGCCTGCAACCCAGATGAGTTCCCAGGAAGGTCTGCCTCTCCCCACACCTGTACCGGTAGCTTGTTTCCTGTCAGGATCAAAGGATGCAAACTGAATTTGGCAGAATTCTGAGAAATTTTTATTTTGGGAAAGAAAATTGCATGAGGCCTCATTTTATCCCACACTGTTGGTATGACCCCAGTAGCCTGGTGTACAGTGAAGGATATGGGTTCTGGGGTCAGACAGTTCAATAGAGCCTCAGCTCTACTGTATTCTAGCTGTGAGACCTTGTACAAATTACTTAACCTCTCTGAGCCTCAGCTGCTTTGTAGGGGTGGTGAGGATTCAAGCATTCAGCAAGCAAGTGTTGAGCACATGCTATATGCCAGACACTGTTCTAGGACCCAGTGAGAGCAAGACCCAGCCTCTGCCCTCATAAAGCGACCTTCTAGTGGGCAGAGTGCAACAGTGCACGGAAAGCACTAAGCAGGGCACCGGCAGTGGAAGTAGATGTGCCCATCAAAGTCAGACTCCATCAGTTCCTCTCAGTGGGGCCCTGATTAGTGCTTTTTTATAAATGACTGCAAAGTGCTGTTGTACCATGCTAGCCTTGAGGTTTGCTGAGTGGGCAGAGTTCCTTGCCCTTGAACTGAATGGCCCTGGACAGCTACAATTTTCTCATTCTTCTGTCTCCTCCCTCTACTGTTGCCCCTTTTCTCTTTCCTTGTGCATCTGTTTCTAGTAAAGATGCTTTCTTCTGTGTCACCTCTAGAAAAAGCTAAAGATTCCAAGGCAATTTCCCAAGTTGGTTAAAGGAGAGACATTAACCAGGCCAGAGGATGGCTCTAAAGATGCAGAGATTATACCTGTTTCAGTTCATTTACCTGGTCCTCACAATGACCCTGTAGAATACCCTCCTCTGACCTCCTACAGCAGCGTGGCCTTCCCTTTATCGTAACATTTAACCACTGAATTGTGACTGCTTGTTTCCTGACCTCACTCCTTCTCTAGACTGGGAGCATGTCAGAGGCTCAGTGAGTCCCCAGTGCCCCAACACAGAGCCTGGCCCAGACTGGGCCTCCAGGAGAGTGTGTTGGATGGATGCATGTACAGTCAGGCTGGCTTCTGGGTGCCCTCAGAGATGCCAGACAGCAGGTGCAGTCTCAACCTGGGGCACTCCCAGCAGGTGAGCACTGTAGCCGAGGTGTGAGAACAGTGCTCAGAGACCCCAGAGGAGGGAGTGCTGACTCTGCCGGAGGAGGGGGAGGCATAGGGGTTCTGGAGAGAGCTCCTGGGAGAGGGGCCCAGCCTTACCACTCCCTGACCATGCAGTCACGGTTCCTTCCCAGGGCCGGCTGACAGATGGAAAAGGGAAGACCATCGACTGCAAGGACGCCATCTTCATCATGACCTCCAACGTGGGCAGTGACGAGATAGCACAGCACGCACTGCAGCTGAGGCAGGAAGCTTTGGAGATGAGCCATAACCGGATCGCCGAGAACCTTGGTACAGCACGTGGCCCGAGCTCTCTGGGCAACTGGTTAAGTGACCAGGCCGCCAGCGCACCTCCTGGGGGCAAGGATGGCAGGATGGCATTGGTGTCCTGGGGCCAGATGAGGGCCCTGGTAGCATCTTTGTTCCTAGCTGGTCCTGACCAGACACCAAGCACCCTACTAGGTAGTGGAGGGAGGAAGACAGACGGTGCCCCTACTTCCTCAAGAAATCCCCAAGTCTCTTGGGTGACAGGAGGGCTCCAGACAGAGTAATGGACAGAGCCACACCAGGGCATGGGGCCAGGAAGAGGCCAGGGCCTAAGGGGACTGAAGGGATGCACACTCAACAGATGGAGACACTTCGGTGCAATGAGGGGATAGCAGATCAGAAACCGTATGGAGGTGACACAGCCTTTTTCAGCCAGGGAGCCTTCCTGCATAGGAGGAAAGGAGGAGCATGTCAGGCAGGAGGCCACATCTGTCACCTTTCTATTTAGGATTGAACTCTCCAGCCCAGTCTTGGTCCTGACTCTTCTCCTCTCCCCTCCCCTCCTTCATACAGTTCCTACCAGTACATGAGCAGTGGAAGGGCCTAGGAGGTACCCAGTCCAGGCCTCTCATTGTGCAGGTGAGGAGAAGGCTGAGGCCCAGACAGCCTGAGACCTTGACCAGGAACACACAGACCATAAGGGTCAGGACCAGGGCTTTTTTCATGGATAGAGCGAAGGAGCAGGCACAGCTCCCAGAGGTCCTGGGTTTATGATTCTGTCTCTACAGGGGATGTCCAGACTAGTGACAAGATCACCATCTCTAAGAACTTCAAGGAAAATGTGATTCGCCCCATCCTAAAAGTAAGAGTTCTTTGTCATTCCTGCTGGAGCCTTGGGTTGGGGGGGATCCCCTTAGCCATCGTGAAGATACGGAAACCCTCCCACGCCCATCTTCCCCAATAGGGTCCAGTAATCCCTTTATACCCTCTGGGTCACTGAGTTCACCCCATCCCTAACCTGGCCCTATAGGCTCACTTCAGGAGAGATGAGTTTCTGGGACGAATCAATGAGATCGTCTACTTCCTCCCCTTCTGCCACTCGGAGCTCATCCAACTCGTCAACAAGGAGCTGAATTTCTGGGCCAAGAGAGTAAGAGCGGGGACTGCCTGTGGGTGGGGGTGGGATATATGCCCACTAGAAGTCAGGGAACACTGGGCTGGGAGCGCCACCCCCAGAAGAAGGAGCACAGAGGGGGCCAGTGGCTATAGGGCACACAGTCTCTCACAGGCCCAGGCCTCAGGCCAAAGCGCTGAGAGATAGAAAGCCCTGGCCCACATTCAGGCATGCTCCTATCTGACCTGTCCCAGGCCAAGCAAAGGCACAACATCACACTGCTCTGGGACCGTGAGGTGGCAGACGTGTTGGTTGACGGCTACAACGTGCACTATGGCGCCCGCTCCATTAAGCATGAGGTGAGCACAGGAGCCTGAGAGAAGTGAGGCACTTCCACACCTCCCTCCCTGGTGCCCCCAGACGCATTCCCTGGGCTCCCAGTCTGTCCAGACAGGCAGGAATTGTTCTTAGAGCAGATGCCTCTTCAGAACCAAAAACAATATAATCAAGTAAAACCCCTATCCTAAAAGGGTAACTGAGTTTGAACCCCTCCCAGTGTGAGAAACTGGGCTGAGAACCTCAGAAACTGACATTACTGTGTCATTAGCACTGTCCTGCAAGCTTGCGTTGTTAGCCTTTTGCAGATGAAAAAGCTGAAGCTTTGAGTAAGTACTTGCCTGAGCAGTAAGTGATAGAGCCAGGCCTCCAGGCTTTGGCAGTGAAGACCACTTCACCTACCACCTGCAGGTGGAGCGCCGTGTGGTAAACCAGCTGGCAGCCGCCTACGAGCAGGACCTGCTGCCAGGGGGCTGCACTCTGCGCATCACTGTGGAGGACTCAGACAAGCAGCTACTCAAGAGTCCTGAACTGCCCTCACCCCAGGCTGAGAAGCGTCCACCCAAGCTGCGGCTGGAGATCATCGATAAGGACAGCAAGACCCACAGATTGGACATCCAGGCACCACTAAACCCTGAGAAGGTGTGCCACACCCTCTAGTGTCTACCTACCTGCCTATACGTGCCCTGAACACCTAATAAAGCCCCCTTGGCTGTGGCATGGTAACGACCTACCTTCTCCTCCTGCCTCTCACTCCTCTCCAAAGTCAAAAGCAGGAATTTTGCCCTACCCTGATCCTTTCCTGTGGGCCCCACATGTGCTAACAGGTCTCTGGGAGAGGAGCTGCTCCTCCATCCCCTTCAAGCCAGGGGGAAGAGGGAGGTCTCTTATCTCTGTCCTTCAGCGTGATCCCCATGTCCCAGCATCTCTGGAACTTTATCATGTTTCCTGGAAGCTCAGAAGTATGGCAGCTGAGAACAGATCTGGCTGGAAAGAGACAGGGACCAGGCTGTGACCTGCCACCCTCTACTGGCTCTCATGCAACTGAGTCCCCAGAATGTCTCCACTGGGAATGGAGAAGAATGCAGAGGCCCAGGCACAGAGGTTCTGCATTTAGGCTGTAGCTTCCTCTTTCCCAAGCTCTAAAATTCCAAGGGAAAGGGACTCTCAGGGACACTACTGTGTGATAACTACTGTTCCTCCCCACCCCATGTTCAGAGGTCAGACCAGACCATATCTCTCCAGCCTTGGAACTAAGCCAGCATAGGGCATCTTTAGGAGGAAGGCTGACTGGGCACTACCCTGCCCTACACGGAGACTGGACAGAAGTTATCAAATGGCCAAGCAAGGTCAGCTCTACAGGGCCTCCTTCAGGAGACCAACTACGTAGACATTGGGGAACTGCAGGAGGAGGAATCATGGGGTCGGGCTCTGCCCAGATGGCCATGGAGCCTGCCTCAGCCCTGTCTGTACTATGGTCCCAGCTAAGTGAACCTGGAATAAACAGCTCCCCTCTGCAGTCTGCATGTTAGTCACTAAGCAGAGGGACTACACACCATCCCCCAAGGCATTCCACAGACCAGACATGTTCCAGCCTCAGCTTAGCAGGGCACAGCAAGGCTTGGTACACCTTGGGAACCATCTGCAATAGCCACCATCGATGACTATGTCATCACCCTCCCTCTGCAGGGCCATTTTGGAACCTTCCTTTGGTGTTACAAAGTCTCTTTCAGGAAGCAGAAAATGGGGACAGGAATCAAAGTCCCTTGGGTGATGACAACATGGCGGGTGTGAGGCAGTCAGAAGCCAGAACGTGGGCTCCAGCAGATGCTCCAGCAATCACTGTCCAGCCCCTCAAGGAGTTGTCTGCTGCTTCTTAACCTCAGTGACTGCCATTCTTTTTTTTTTTTAATTTATTTTATTTACTATTTTTGGCTGCGTTGGGTCTTTGTTGCTGCACGCGGGCTTTCTGTAGTTGCAGCAAGTGGGGGCTACTCTTCGTTGCGGTGCGCGGGCTTCTCATTGCTGTGGCTTCTCTTGTTGCAGAGCATGAGCTCTAGGTGCACAGGCTTCAGTAGTTGTGGCACGTGGGCTCAGTAGTTGTAGTTCACGTGCCTTTTTTGTGTGTTATTATCATTATTATTATTATTTTACTTCTTGCTCTGAAATAATTTTAGACTTACAGGTAGTTGCCAAAATAATAGAGTTCCCATACACCCTTCACCAGCTTCTCCTAATATTAACATCTTTAAAAATTATTAAATTACAGTATAATTAGTAAAACCAGGAAATTAACATGATACAGTACTACTAACTAATCTGTAGACATTCAAATTTTGCCACGTTCCCCACTGATGTCCTTTTTCTGGTCCAGAATCCAATCGAGGAGCCCACATTGCATTTTGTTATGTTTTCTTCATCTCCTTCAGCCTGTGACAGTTCCTCTGGCTTTCTTTGCCTTTTGTGACCTTGACACTTTTGAAATGTCCAGATCAGTTAATTTGTAGAATGTCCCTTAATTTAGGTTTGCCTGCTGTTTTCACATGATTAGATCGAGGGTCTACATTTTGGGCAAGACTAGCCCACAAGTGATGCTGTGCCCTTCTTAGTGCCTCATAGTGGCAGCACATGGCTGAGGTTGTGTGTGCCAGTTTCTCCACTGTAGGTTTACTAATTTCCCTTTTGAAATTAATAAGAATCTCATGGAAAGATAGGAGCTGTATAGATGTCTTATTTATCCTTAGAATTTTGCCTACTGATTTTTAGCATCCATCAATGGTTCTTACTTATAACAAGCATTAATATTGTATTTGCCTAATTATGACTTTCTCTTTTCTTATTCCATCTATGTTTATTAATTGGTATTCTACTGTAAGGAACAGCTGTCTCTTTTCCCCCATTTATTTATTCAGTAATTTATTTATATCAGTATAAACTAATGGATATTTGTTTTAGTCTATGGGTTATAACCTAATACATAGGTTTTTTTTTTGCTCATTTGGCCTAGATTTGGCCATTGGGAGCTCCTAAATTGGCTCCTGTGTTGTTTCAACATTGCCCCATCATTTTTTTTAGTATTGCCTTACTTTCTGGTACCACAGGATATTCCAGGCTCACTCATACTTTTCTTGTCCCAGCCCTGGCATCAGCCATTTCTCTAAGCAGCTCCTCGTTCCTTTTATTTGAGAATGGTACTTAGAAACTAAGGTGGTATATTCATTGCTACTGGAGTGTTGTTGCTTCTAGGCCTTTTCAGCACACAAAGCTAGGAAATATATGTGTGTATGTTAACACATGTATCACACACAACTGAATTTATTACTATATCTGTCCATCTGTATATTATTAAAAACTATGAGTCCATATTGATGCCTACAGTTCTAATCCAACACCACAAGGTTTGCGATTTGCCCTTATTATTATGACTTTACTATTCTTTTTCTGCTTCTTCCTCTCCTGCTATCTCTGTTTCTTCTCCTCTCACTCTGTTTTTTGTTCAGACTTCCCTTAGAGGCTCTAATTAAGTCAGTCGGTGACCATCCTATATGGAACATTCCTATTGGATAAAGTTCTTATGCTTGGCTGTCAGTCCCTTGGTTTAGTCAGCTGCGGCCAGGAGCAGCAGACATATAACTCAAAACCAGATAATTTTTGTACAAGAAAACCCAATGGCCACCTTTCTGAGAAGAAGGTAGGGGACAGGGTAGACCCTCAGATTCTGAGGAACTTAAGTATCACTTGTAGGGAATCTTAGCTAGACCTCCTAGGTGATGTTGGACCATAGCATCCTAGGCAGTATTCAGCTCACTTACATTATTTGTTCTATGTAAGAACAAATAGAGTGTAAGATCCAAGAGGGCAGATACCCAGTTATTCCACTCACTATCCTATTCATAGAAGCTGGCACAGAGCCATCACATGATGGCTGCTCCAGGTATTTGGATGGATGGATGGGCCCTGCAGCAAGCATAGACCTTCATAGTGAGTCCCAGGACAGAACAGTATCATATGTTCATGGAGCACACATTTGTCATGTGTTTGTGGCCAGGCAGTAGAACCTGCTAGACCCTTAGTGAATGGGGCAAAGTAAGACCCCAGATACTTACTGAGTATCCAGAAATACATGAGGCTGGACTTGCAAATGAAAATGTAATATCTTTATTGTTCAAAAGGAAAAATTCAAAGATAAGTAGTGATGGTTTTAGGAATTTAGAAAAAAACACATTTAAAGCATAGGAAAATAGAAAATGGATCAATTAAAGATAAAACCTGAAGTTAAGTAGGAATTCAAAAGACAAAAAAAGGAGAAAGGATAAGAAAAAAACTATTCTTTTTGAAAACACCAATAAAATAGATAAAATCTCCTCAGCCTGATATAGGGAAAAAGCAAAAAAAAAAAAAACCAAGATTAGGAATGAGAAATCAGACATAACCACATATATGAAAGTATTTAAAATAATTTTAGGAGAAGTCTGTGGCCACAATTTTGAAAACAGAGCAGATAGATCGTTTCCTAGCAAACACTGACCCAAGTCAGTGGTTTGAATATGCCAATTAGTTACCAAAAGAAGAGATTGGAAAGGTGATTAAAATTTTATCTTTTTAAAAGATTGTTTTCTTTAAACTTTTTAAATTGACATATACATGGAAAAGTACACAAATCACAAGTATATAATTCAATGAGTTATCCACAAAGTGAATACCACTGTAGCCATCATCCAGCCCAAAAAATAGATCAGAGTAATTTTTAATTACTATAAAAACTGATTCAGATCATGGGAAAAGATGGAAAGATGCTCAGTTGATTTTTAAAGGCCAGCGTAAGATTAATACTCAAACCCGCTAAACTGCCAAAAAGAATGCCATAGCTTAATCTCATCTACGATTATAGAGGCAAAACTTCCAAATAAAACTAAGTTGAATTATACAACATAATTACATAAGTTTTATTTCAGCAATACAAGCCTCAGTATCAGGAAATTTATTAATATAATCCATTACATCAAGAACTTGAAGATTATTTAAATGTCTGTAGATTAATATTAATTTTCTTATTTTGATAATAGTTCTTATGATTATGTAAGAGAATATCCTTGTTTTTAGAAAATATACATTGAAATATTTAAAGATAAAGACAGTTGGCAAATGTTTCAGGAAGCTAAATTATACATATACACACATACAAAAGTATACATACAGAATGATAAAACAAAAGTAAAGTATTTACATGGAGGAAATCTGAGTGAAGGGTATACAGGAACTCTTTGTATTGTTTTTGCAACTTTTCTGTAAGTCTAAAATTATTTCCAAATAAAGTTTTTTTAATGAAAGGAGATGAACATTTTATCAGTATATGCTGAAAAAGCATTTGATAAAATACTACAGCTTTAAGTATGATTTGATAAACTCCAAGTAAAAGAAACCATCAAAAGCCAATAGCAAACATTTTTAATTATAAATACTAAAGCTACTTCTGTTAAAGACTGAAATAAGACAAGAGTCAACACTGCTTTGAAAATTTAGGTGTAAGTAATTAGGCAAGAAAAGTGAGTAATTGGTATCTATTGGAAAATAATAAATGATCTTGTTTTGTTGATATGTGACTGTGCTTTTAGGAGATCTGAGAGGCTATAAGTAAAACCTATTAGCATTAATAAGGAAATTTGGTAAGTGAGTAAAAGATAAATGTACAAAAATCAATAGCTTTTTTCTATTCCAGCAATAGTCAACTAGAAACAATAACAAAAGTATTCCATTCAC